AAATGGTATTATATGATAGGTAAGCTTTTGAGGCTGGCTTTCACTCAACATAATGCCTTTGAGATTTATCCAAGTTGTCATAATTTCCTATTTTAAATGTAAAATGTATTTTAAAGAACTCAAGAGAAAACTCATTGATTATATTTATAGATATTTACCATTTCTGTTGTTCTTCCTTCATTCTTGATGATACAACTTTCCTTCTGGTGTCATGTTTCCTCTGTCTGAAAATTTATTTTAGCAATTATGCTATAATGATTTTGCTAGCAACAACTCCTCTTAGTTTTCCATTATCTGAAAATGTTTTTATTTCACTTTCATTCCAAAGGAATATTTTTAGTGACTATAGATTCTGGGTTGACAATTATCTTCCTGAAGCACTTTAAAAATTTTGCTCCCCTTCCTTTTGGGCTCCATAGTTTCTGAACAGAAACACAAATCATTTGAGTCATTGTTCCATAAAACAATTGGTAATTTTTCTTGGGTAGTATCAAGATTTTTTCTTGGTATTTAGTTTCAGTAGTTTGAATTTGATGTGGCCAGGCTTAGGTTTTCTTGGGTTTCTCATGTTTAGAGTTTGTTGAGCTCCTGGAATCTGTAGATTTATGTCTACAATCCAATTTTAGTAGTTTTTAGCCATCATTTCTTCAAATACTTTTTTAACACCATATTCTTTCTCTTTTTCTGGGACTCTGATGACATGAGTGCTTCATGTTCAAACCTTTGCAATGTTACTCATATTTGTCCCATATGCGAGCCACTTAGTGGTGAGTTGGTACCTGGGTGGTCATTGGTGCTGTATCTGTTTAGTTCTCACTATCTTTTAGTATGTGTTTAGGATCAGATCCACAAATTTAGAGCTCAAGTGTGAGCCCAGGAGTTTATATTCAACTTTATGGTCTCCCTTTTTCAAGTTCTTTTCCTTCTTTGGTCCTTGACCAGAAAGTTGAGGTTTCTATAACTCTGCTCTGCTGCACACTTTTTATGACTGTGTACACCTCCAGGACCAAAGGGCAGTATGACAGAAGAAGAAAAGCAACAGGGGTTTACTCCACCTTATTGAGACCACAGCTTCTCCAATTAGAAGGGAAGATCCCCTTTGAATTTTCAACACCTCAAGGCTCCTGCTGCCATCGTTGATGCTCCTGTTTCCACAACTACTGTGAGTTCATCTGGAAGCTAGAGTATGAGAGAATTGAGAAAAGAAAAAAATGGGGGATTCTACCCACTCTCTCCGAGCATTTGGAGACCCCTATCCCACTCCCCAAGATAGGGCTAGAGGGTGTTTCCTGGAATTCTCTCTGTGGGCACCTTGGTGCCCTCTTATGAGTTTTGGGCTCTGTGGGCTGGGTTTTGTGCTTCCATCCAGGCCAGGGTATACCAGAGAAAAGCAAGAAACTCACTGCCAACTTGGTGTGTGTTGAATTCTGGTCTTCTTCCCCAGTCTGTCAGCTACTACTTATTTTTCAAAGACTTCAGATAAATTCTGCTCCATGAATTCTGTCCAGGTTTTAGAGGTACATTTGATGGGATATACAGAGTGGAGTATACTTACTCCACCTTACCCAAAATCAGAACTCCCACTTTACTTTTTTTAATAATTAATTTTCAAATAATTCATCGATTTGTTGCTGACTTGGGTAAGTATTTTGTTTCTTGATATAGGAAATAGAATGAGGCCACAAAAAAACAAATGCATAGGGCCACAGTGGAATAAGTGGATCCAGACTCCAAGAGCCAAGGTGACATGTAGGCTAGGAGTAGTAGGTCAAAGGGCTAGGCTGTGAACCATTTGTTCCTTCTTACAGGGAATAAGACATATTCATTCTTTTGCATCCAGCACTCAGTGTAAAGGCACATACGTGGTACTCAACAAACATTTGTTTCTTAATGGGTTGGTTCAAAAGATGGTAAAGAAATATCAAGGGAAAATATACTGCCAGAATGTTCCTGGGGTTTGGTTGCTAAACCGGCAAATAATTTATCTAATCATATTACCATCTATGGGACATTTCTACTTCTCAGCCTTTATGGACAAGACTTGTCCTAAAGGACATTCTCAAATAATTCATTGGAATGAATATATGTAGTTTGCATGTAATTCTCCTGATCTAGGAGTCTTGTGCTTATTTTTAAAAGAAATAGGATTAATTTTTGAAAACTTGCATTTAATGTACACATCTTGGCTTCTGGAGATGATGGTGTGTTTTAAATAATTACCCACCAGCTTTTTCACTATCCTTTCAAAAATTCTGCGAAAGCTTTTTATAGTTTTCTGAATTTGCAGTACCCTGTTACTGTTGAAAATATAAACAAATTTTATTGATCTATATACTTATGACATTCCCACTGAGGTAATTTAATAAGAAATACTTATATTACAGTGTTTCATCAAGGCCAATGTCCATATTTTAGAAACAATTTTTCCCTCTGGCTTGAACTTCCCTCCTGAACTCTGCATTCGTAGAGTTACAGACTACTTGACATCTGCACTTGGATGTGTAATAGACATCTCCATGTTAACATGCCCCGAACTAAGCTATGGGCGTGTTGCTCAAAAATTTATACTCCCCTTGGTTTCCCTTTAATTCAGGCTGTTAGATTTTTTTATCCTCGATATTTCTATTTTTTTAATACTCTGGGTGAATGGTTCCTATTCTTTGTCTTCCCTATCCTTAAATATGCTTACATAGTTGTTCTTTAGTGCGATTTGATTACTTCAATATCTGAAATCTCGGCAAGTATCTTTCTGATGTCTGTACTCTGCTGAGTCTTGCTGTTTCCTGCTGTGCTTGAGCATATTTGTGTACCACTCATTACGCTGTTTCAACGTTACATACAAAGGCAGACCAGCTGGGTATAATGGAGCATTGGCTGATCTTGTCTCTTTAGTGGTTTCTAATCTTTAATCTTTAGGAAATTAGAGTGAGTCTCATACATCTGTCTATCTTCCTTTATTATGATGTTTGCAATTTACTCATCAACTATTTGGTAGAGTGAATGTGTTTCTACTGTAGTTTTCCCACGCAATATTTTAAAAATTGTCTATAAAAGCTTTCTTTGTAACAGAATTTTGCTGAAAAACACACAGGTGGAAATAACAAAGCATATTTAGTATATTTAGTTTGAGATTTCTCCTCTCTTCATTTTCTTTACTCCGAGTCAAAATAAAATACAGTACATGGTTCGCCTCATTTTTATTCTGAATATACTTAAACACTTAAGCATGTTTTCCAAAACTTATTGACATTTATTATAAAACATTCAGTGTCAAGATGTGAGATTTGAATAAATGAAAATACTACAAAACAAAACAAAAACAAACACACAGATACAGAGAACAGATGGGTGGTACCAGAGAGAAAGCGGGTGAAGGAAGGGTGAAATGCGTAAAGGGGATCGTTTGTATGGTGATGGATGGAAACTAAACTTTGGAGTCAGTATGCTGTCGTGTATACCGAAGTCAAATTGTAATGCTGTATGACTGAAAGTTGTATAATGTTATAAATCAATGTTATCTCAATTAAAAAAGAAAAAAGAAAAAAATACTGACAACATTCCTGGTTGGGAAAACTCAACATTGTAAATCTGTATATTCTCAAAAATCGTACTTGAAAATGTAATGCATTACCAATCAATATCCCATAAGATAATATTTTAGAGCTTAACAATATGACTCTAGAATTCATTTTAAAGAATGACTAATAAAAAGAGTAGAAATGTTGAAAAGAATAAAATTCAGGGAACTTACCCAATCATATGTTAATATATATTCCTGATTTAGGAATAAATAAATCAATGGACAAAATTGAAAGTCCAGAAACAAAATTAGTGTATAACACAGAGATCATATCAATGGTGAAAGTGATTATTTAATTAGTAGTATTTGGACAACTGTTTAATCTCTTGGAAAAAATTAAATAACCCAAATGCTCACTACACATTATTATAACGTCCAGAGACAGTAATATTTGAAAGCAGTAAATACAATATGATGTAAGAATGGTACCCTACAAACTTTTGTAATGTCGCAGCCTGGGAATACGCGATTAGAAAAGTGCTAGAAAAATACATGGGCAAATAATCATATACTCTTAGAGAGTCTACACCAAAAGCAAAGATTATGAAAGAAAAGAAATGACTTCACTACGTAAAATTTCAATACTAAGTAACAAAAAAAGAACAAAAAATTTAAAACATTTAAAGATAAATGACAAACTGGGAAAACACATTTTCAATATATTTGTCAGACAAAATATTTATATACCATGTTAAAAGTTTTCAAAAAACCTCAAGGAAGAAAGATATACATCTTTCCAACAGTAAAGGAAGCAAAAGATAAGAAGAATAAATTTACAAATAAATAATATAAGCAACAAATAATATTATGCAAAAAGTTATTTAGCCTCATTATTAATAAAGAAATAATATGATACTACCTCCATAATAAAATTGGCAAGTATAAATATTTATATTAATATTAAAATTAGTGACCTTTTAGAGAGAATAGGCAATTTTATAAGTTATTGTTGAATAAATTGTAATTTTCCTGATAACTTTTTAAATGTTTCATCTTTATCCATTTTACAGCTAGGAATTTATTCAAAGGAAATAAAGAAAAATTTGCTGGCATTCATGTTCAACTATTTATGATAGAAAAATATTTTAAAACAACCTAAATACATAGTAGATAATTTGCCAAATAAAATGTATTGGATCCATACATAAATATACGTTGCATGCTAACTTTTATTACCAAGAAATATGTTTAACTATTATCAAGTTAAAAATACATAGGTTGCAGGACAGTATTTATAGTTTATATATATGTATGTATATATACACACACTCATGTATGATTAGTTGTAATACTAATCATGTATGATTAGTTTTATATATATATATACATATATTCATGTATGATTAGTTGTAAGGGTAGGGTAGAATTGGTAGGAAGGGAATTTAATAAACCTCGTAACAAACTTAAATAGGCCACTTACTAGCTATATGAACATATTCCATGACCTTAGAATTCCACTCCTTTGCAATCTCGTGCACGTGTGTTTCAAGAAACATATACAAGAAAGTTCAAAGCAGTGTTCTTCCTAATAGCCACATCTATAACAGAATGGAGAGAAGAAATGAAGCATATTCACATAACAATAAAAGTAAATAGAATACAGCTACACAGCAAATATGACTCTCATAATGTTGAGCAAAAAAACATGACACATGCATCCAGTATGATTCTATTTAAATAAAGTTTAAAAACCTAGTAAAACAAAACCACATTATTTAGGCAAACAAACATATGTAGCAAAACTATGAAGAAAATCAGGGAAACAAGGATCACATAAGGATAGTAGTTACCTCTAGAGTAGAGGAGGGTGTTTAATCAAGAATCCCATGGCTTCTGGAGAGCTCACGGTGTCCTATTTCCTGACTTTGGTGGAGAAGAGGGAGCGAATTGCAGGGCAGACCACATTACATTTATTCACTAATCCACACATTTACATTTTTACTCTTTATAAATGTTATATTTATATGTGTGATATATATACACACGTAAAATAAGGATTTTTCGAAGCCAGCATTTTCTTCTCTATTAGAAGTATCCAGATTCTTTGTCCATCGGATTAATGGGCTATAACATATGATGGGTTAAGAAGGAATGAGTTGATCCCTTCAGCATCAATCATCCCATTTGGAACCACTGTTCATCTAATCTATCTGTCTCTTGTTGTAGGGCATATACTTGAGTTGTCCAGCAGTGGGATGCATTTTGTGGCACTATGCCTACCCCTTAGCTTGTTGCCATGGGGATTAACATGCAGCATTGACAAAGCAGACAGCCAGGTTTGCATGCCATCACTTTTACAGGCCCAGATATGGCTTGAACCTATGACCTTAGTACCTACTGTAAACAAGTGAAGTAACTAACTCAAGCTAGTCCTAAAAGGAAGGATAAGTGAACAACAAAACAAGGAAAATGGAAATACTCTTTAAAGTAATTACTTAAAACACGTATTAGTTCCAAAATGAAAAATAAACAAATAGAGTAATAGAATCAAAACAGACAATATTTATATGGAGTTAAGTTATAAATCTGAGTTTTATCTTTCATTTGAGAAAAAAAGAAAAATGAAAAACAGGTCAAACACCATCTTTATGTATGAAGTACAGTACATTTTTATTATTACTCTCTACAAAATCACAAGCTTACATATAGATAATGGCACTTAAAAATTATTTATTTTCTAATACCCAGAGATGAAGGAAAAGAAATAAGAATATTAGTAATTATGGTATTTTTAGAAGAATAACTTTTTGATAAAACAGAATCTACATATTTATATTCTTTAAAGTTAACGGTTAAAATTTTTAAAAAGTAGAAAATATGTGCAAAAGAACATATGTAATATATTAAATATTCTATATCAACTGTTAATTAAATTCCCAAATAATGTTATGATCAAATTTGAGAATAAGCATTCTAACTGCCTTAATACCTCAAGATTTAAAGTGAGCTATCTCTGGAAAATGTGCTTGTTTATATAAAATATTAGAATCATTTTTACTTTCGGGCTTCATGGAGTAAAATCATGACTAAGCACCTTGCAGACATTTGCTTAAATGGAAAATTTCAAAGTTTAAAACAAACGACTGCTTCTTACATACATTACACAGATAATTTCTTCTCCAGTTTTCATTGACCATTGGCCAAATTTTGATCCATTTCCATCCTCTCCCAATTTCAAAATGCTGAGTCTTTTGTATTTTACATTGCTATAAAAATAGGCGATTTTTTCTGATCAGAAATTATTTAAACGTGTGTTTGCTTTAGTGTTAGCCTTAGTTAACTCCCCCACCTTCAGCTCCCCCACCCTCTTTGATGCAGAAACGATGAATGATAGAAGGAGCTCTGAGAAGGAATCCCATTTCTGTAAGCCTAAATAGTCAGAAACGGACAATGTTCCTTTTCAAGGCAATGACCCTTCCTGATTTATTAGCTTCTCCTTCTGGATTTATCCATGTGGGAAAATATTGCCAAAGCTCATTTGTCTTTTCCTGCCTGTATCCTTATGTCATGACATCGAGGTACTTTGTTCTGCAGAAGTATTTTTAAAAGGTGACAAGCCTTTCCCTGTGGAACATTTAAATAATAATAAAAAACATTTTTAATTAGAGTCTGTAATAACTGCTAAGAAGAAAGAGGGAATGGAGCATAGCTTTCCACAGCTCTCATAGAGGATTGATTTTGTGTTTCTCTGTTGTCCCTGTCTACATGTGAATATAGCTCTGATATATTGAAGTTGTTTTTCTTTGAGAATAGCCGTCTCTCTCTTTGCAAGGCTAAGCATACTTATTAAGGACTGTGAGGCTCACGTTTGATGGTTCCTAGTACTATTTACCAAAACATTTTCACTTTAGCTCCAAAATCATTATTCTTCTCAATGTCCAACTTAGAACATAAAGAAAACAGAATAGTCAGATTTTTTTATCATCCTAATATTTGAAGCAATGTCTTACTATATATATAGTTAAACATTTAGTTGTTTTTTTTTTTTGAGGAAGATTAGCCCTGAGCTAACATCTGCTGCCAATCCTCCTCTTTTTGCTGAGGAAGACTGGCCCTGAGCTAACATCGGTGCCCATCTTCCTCTACTTTATATGTGGGACGCCTACCACAGCATGGCTTCCCAAGCTGTGCCATGTCCGCACCCAGGATCTGAACCAGGCCGCTGAAGCAGAATGTGCGAAATTAACCGCTGCACCACCAGGCTGGACCCCAGAATATTTTTGTTGGGAGAAATGAAACAAGATTATATGATCCACCTTATCCATTTTATCAAATAGGAATCAAGACCATGAAGCACAAAGTAGAATATTTAGTATAGACAGTGCTAAATCTCTTTGGCTATCCAGAGTAATAATCTTACACTGCATAACAATTCTTTGTTTCAAAATAATAATACATACAAAAGAACCCAGAAATAATTTGGACAGGAAATTCAGAAAAAAAAATCACAATCAAATTTTGGTCATATTATCCACAAAATAGTGTCATGAACATCATTACTCAGACATTTGCTTTTTCTTTATAAATGATTTCTTTGCCAAAAAAAAAGTTCCCTCTCTCTTCTTCCTCTCTCCACTTGCACGCATCTTGTGTCTCAAGCGCTGGAGGGAATGCAAACGATGCCTCATGCATGAAGTCTTCCCAAGACCCCAATGTGTTCTGCCATCACACTCCAGACTTTCATCACTCATGTACTGCAATGATTGGCTCCTATTTCAGTCTTCCCTATCAAAAGGTGAGTTGCCCCAGGGTAGGAAACATGTTACTCGATTTTGTATCTCTGGAGCCAGCACTATGATAGTTATTTAATTAGTATGTGCTAAGTGGATCAATATATGAATGATTGCTTCATGGTAATTTTCCAAAGTATTCTTGGAATTCTTGCACATAGATTTTTTTACCCAAATGTTCTCAGTGTGAACGAATCCACCTACCTAGCTTTTAGAACAGTAAACCATCTATTTTCCCTCTCGCACTTCCCCGGATTTTAACCATGATTTCAGCCTCCAAAGAGGATTATTATAAGCCATTCACTTAGTAATTACACTTTAGCAAGCTATGGAATTTCAAATAGAGATATATTTAGGTTCATTACCCCCTTTATTATGCTGTCAAATTATTTCCGGTATGTTTCAAACCCTAATAAAATGCATTAATTGATATTCTGATGGTTCAAAAGAATGAATGTAGGCCTCAAAATGTTCATGAACTCCCAGGGACTAGCAATGTCCAAAGGAGAAACATATAGGATCAATATTAACAATAACAGCCAATAAAATGTTTTATCCAGTTGGGGTTTCACAACGTGACAGAGATATGAAGAACTTAGGGAGGGTACAGAAAGGAATCAGAAGACAAGAAATTAAAACCTGGGATGAAGAAGGGAATTCTGGAAACGATAATAATAATAATATGGAAAAATAAGCCTCGGTATTTCCTTTTTCCAACACATATAAACACTTGCAAGATTGTGGGAGTGGGGCGGGAGTTGTTCACTGTTTATTAATTTCTGTACCTCTCAAAATATCAAATGAACATTTATTGCTTTTATAATGATATGAAAATAAAGTAAATAACCGGAGAAATTGTTCCGTACTCACAGTTCTGAAGCACTGAAACATTTTACTGAAAGAGGGTCTGAAATATCCATCCCTGGAGATTATTAGAAATGAGATAGAGACGGATTAGTGTGGAACAGGTCAGGTAAAACTTGCGTAAACAGTGACCTCTACATCTGCCTTCCATTCCGTAACGTCTGTGATTGATCCTAAGTGGTGTTTAAAACAGAAAAATCACTATTTTTTAAGGAAACATAATCTAGCATGTAATAGAAATAGATTTTTGTTTGGGGAACTGGTAAGATCCATAAATTCATACCTTACTACATTATTAAATAAATCTTTTTTCTCTTGTTTTCTGAGATTTGTCTAAACCTCAGCTCATCTTTTCCTTTTCTCCTTTCCAATAAATGTCTCCCTTGAGAAAATTCAGGAAAAAAAATTATAATAAAACCACAACAATTGATTATTTAATGCAAATCCCTATAATATGCAAGTATAACCAGAGAATGGATAAATGGTCTTAACCACACATTAGCCTAAATTATAAATTTATAAAACACTGTGCATGAGGAACAGTATCATGAGCCAAAGAGATACAAGATTTCCCAACATCCCCAAACCACTACTGAATGGAGACAACTAAAAGAACAAAAAGTGAAGCTCTGGTATTTATATAGGTTAAATACTTTGAAATTGTTGATATTTGACTGTTTTGACCTAAATAAATGTCAATTTCATGTGATTCAGTATAAGGCATGCTTACTTACAAAAATCACAGAAGGAATTATTATTATTATTATACAGTATCATATTTCACAGAATAAATAGCTTTAAGATAAATACTATTCAGATGTGAAATGGGAAATCTCTGTTTGACTCCTTTTAGCTTTTTTGATTTGGAAATTTTGCTTTGTCTTCTCTATAAGTATATTAACCGAAACTTGCTCTCTGATAAATCCTTTAAAAAGAATCATTAAAGAAAGAGAATAGAAACAATTTTATGATGGATAGAGATGGATATAAATAAACTATATTGAAAATTAAATAAACCAGGCAAAATGCAGTTTTCATCAATAGGTAACTTACACATCGTATGACATAATTTTGGTTTCAAATGTCAAATGAATTTTGGCTAAGTGTTACTTTTCTAGTTATTTTCAGGTCTCTGATATTACTAATGCAAAGATTTATTGATCAAAACATAGTAATACATACATGCATTTGTATAAAGATATCATTCAACTATTTTTGCTGCATTTCTTTATTTCATATGTATGTATTGAAGTTTCTAGCTTTAGTTGATAAAATCCACAAACCAGGGTACCATAGATATTTCTCTCAAGATGAACAGAACCAACCCTAAAATCATGAGGTAATAAACAATTTTGAGATATTTTCTAGAAAATTTCTTAAAATTTAAAAAAGATATTCTAAATGAAAGTTCTGGGAAAGTGATAGGAAGATATATTATTAATTCAGTGAACTTTTAAGGTATTTTAAATATACGACACAATCCCGCCTACATGGCAAGCAATATTTATAATGTTATTTTACCTTTGATTCATAAGGAAGCACACACTATCCTCTACTTTGTAAGAAATCAAGACTTCAGTGAGAGTAAGAGTCTAGAGGACAGTACCACAGGGCTTGTAAAGTCACATATTGAGGGGAGCTTGCTTTGTCTATAGAGAGAGTACTTCTGCCTCACCTGTCACAATGGAGTCTGATTTCAATGACACTTGATCGGGTTCCTGTCTCAATGGATCTTTCTGCCAAAAGTATCTCAGAACATTTTGGCCACATTCACACCAAAATGTAAATTACACCAAATCAGTCCCTGCCAGCAATTCTCCAACTGAAGTCAAAAAGCCATTTGTTGATGTTTAAATCTCCCACAGCTCAGGGCCAATGGGATACGAAAGGAAAGCAGGGCAAGGGCACACTGATGCAGCCCTCTGTTTTTTAACAATTCGCCTTTAGGACTAAGTCGGGACACTCTATTCAACATTCCTTTTGATTTCCAACTTCTGTTATGTTTTCTGTTTTTTTCACGTGTGTAAAAACAAAACAAAACTCCTATTCTGCCTGTTCTAAATCACTCATTCTAATTTCATGCCTTCTTTTGCATTATTTTTATTCATGGCAACTTGATACGTCCAAATTCTGGCCCCCAACAGAAATGCTGAAATCAGTGCCTTTCCCTAAGTACAACAGGGCAGGAAATGATGCCCAGTCTTTACTACTAAGCTAGAAAGAAGAAAACTGCCTAATCGAACACATCTCAGATGCACCTGTGCACGCAAGCCTGCGAGAGAGAGAGAGAGGAAGAGGAAGAGGAAGAAGAAAGAGGAGGAGGATGAAGGAGAAGAGAGAGCAGGAGAAAGGAAAAGAAAGGGAGGAAGGGAAAAAAGACAAAGGGAGGAAGGGTGAAGGAAGGAAGGAAAGATGAAGGAAAGAAGGAAGGAAGTTTGTAGGCAGAGTCTTACCTATTTGTATGCTTTGTATCCGGAGAGTCCTAGATTAATTACTTGAGACTCCTTTGTAAGAAGCACAGAGTCTTTATGTGAGGTCACGAAAAATTATATAACAGCCATAACAAGCAAACAAATCCTAAAACATGAAAACTCTGTAGCCGCTACAAGACCAGTTTAGTGCAGATGTTCTATTTATCTCCTGCCTACGTGAATATGGGGCATATTGTATAATACAGAGATATTACATATGCACATGAAAGTACGTGTAAATATGAATGCACAATTTATGCAAAGTTGTAGAGCCTTTGAAAGTTCCCTTAGCTTCCAGCCTTCTCTGTCTGTGTCGTTCTTCCTCCTTTCCCGACATCGCAGCCCTCAAGGACCCCAGCGTCCTCTTGCTCTTTTGCTCTCTCTTGACCTTCTGGTATCAATTTACACAGGAGAGCACGGCACACATATAAAACGAACTTCATCCACAACAAGACGTTTCATGAGCCAGACATTTGCCCTTGGAGCCTTTTAACTTCACTCACAGAGAAGAAGCGTTGTTTATTTGCTTGTCTCTGCTCCTCACTTTTCTTTGGAAACATTCTGATCAGCCCCAGGCCAGGAAGGTTAGGATGATCATCCTTAGCTGAACTGAACAGAAAAAACCAGAAAGTTTATAATTTAGAACAGTGTTTCTCAAACCACAAATCTTTTGAATGAGAATTACCTGGAATCTTTGTGACATGCAGACCCCTGGGCCACATCTCATACCCAGTGAACCCCAATCTCCATTGGACCCATCTAAGAACCTCCACGTTGTCCAAAGGTGCAGCTGATACTCACACAGCTAAGCACCGAGAACAACCACTTGAGGGAGACCATTCACCCTCTATCCATATAAAAAAGCCATGTCACAGCTAAAGGCATTTTTTTTATAAAATAAATTTTTCCTAAGATATGTGCTTAGTTTTTCTTTGATATGCTATTTCTATGTTTTATTTTCTGCAGTGCACTATTTAGTGTAGGAAAATTGTTACAACAATCCTCTTTAAATTAAGAAAAAGCCCCCACTGGGGTAGTTTTACAGCTAAAGGATGATGTCACTGACATCTTTTTCAGCATCTCTGATCTCAACATGTAATGGAAATTAAATTAATGAAAACAAAGGCCATCAAAGGGATTATAAATTAATTTTCTCCTCACTGAAATGAACAGCAGGAGAAAAGGGTTTTTTTATGATTAAAAAATGACATCATGCTGTCTTCTACAAAACAACATCCTCCAAACTAATTCTATTTAATCTTTTTAACTTAGTCCTTCATTTTTGAAACTACGACAGATTATCTCAAAGAGTTTTTTCTATTTTCAAAAAACAAAGTTAAATATTGTTGGTTCATGATCTTGTGCTTAAAGTTGGAGGAATTAATGGGTTATATGATGTTCTGCTAGAACATTCTTTCAATTTTAGGGTAGATCACTTTATTGTAATTAATGCCTTAACTTAAAGGAAAAAACTAGTATTAAAGGGGTGAGCAAGGAGGCCAGCTTGGTGGTGTATTAGCTAAGTTTGCATACTCTGCTTTGGGAGCCTGGGGTTCACGGGCTCAGATCCTGGGTGAAGACCCACACACCACTCATCAAGCCATGTTGTGGCAGGATCCCACATACAAAATAGAGGAAGATTGGTGTGGATGTTAGCTCAGCAGTAATCTTCCTCAAGCAAAAAGAGGAAGATTGCCAAGAGATGTTGGCTCAGGGCCAATCTTCCTCACCAAAATAAATAAATAAAGGGGGCGAGCAAGTATTTAACAAAAGTTCACCTCCGTCAGATCACACCTGGGCTTCTACTTCTGCTGGTTGATTAGGAAATCACACACACACCCTTCTCCTGCTGTACAAACTTGAAGTTAAAATTTCCAGAGTTAAAATTTCCAAATTGGTCTCACTACACTCTCTAATCATCTCTCAAATGTAAAGTTTGCAGTTATGACTCTGTGTGAGTGCGTGTGTGTGTGTGTTAGACAGAGAGAGAGGAGAGGAGAAGAGAGGAGGGAGTTGAAGAAGAGAAATAAATGCATCTCTTTTTTCTTGAAGAAAGAAAATGTGTCAAAATTTATACACTGAAAGTACTAGCTCCTCATTCTATAAATGATCAACATCAAACTCATCCTTTTTTTCTTGAATATAGTAAAGGGTGAACGATGGTGTATCTCAGAGGCGTTCAGTCCTCTTGAAGTCCAGGAAGGCGACCTGTACAGATGCTGCCCGTCCGTCACTGGGGGAGCCGCTCCCTGTGCTCTGGTGTGTTTTCATGGCTGAGACATAAAGGAAGCACACACACAAAGTGCACAAGCAGAACAAACCTTGTTTTTACAGTCAGTAAATAATTATTCTGTTCAGATTATGTCAATGTGAGAGTCTTTGAAACTTTCTACTCTGGCTAAATATCTGCAAACAGATTTCACCCAGAGGCAGGTGAACACAGGAAGGAGCTCCAGAAAGGTTAAGAATCTGCCACTGCTTTAAATCAGTAAGCTGTCTGCAGAAGCAAGTTAGCCCCAGCCCCAAACCCACATACAGCAAAGAAGAACCCAGAAGCTAACCGGACCTACACTCTTTATAAAGCAATCAAATTGTAAGTGATTGTTTATTATTATTACTGCAGGGTCTTTGGAATTAACTCAACCCTCCCTCACCCCTTCAACAACCCCAAGCATTTTATCAATTATTCCTTCCAACACTTCCTGTGTTGAAGGTTAAATGCATGATTACTCATCTCCAATGGGCCCTTAATGCTGCAGTTAATCCTAGTGTATTTCCTTAATCCTCTCACACTCTCTCCCATTCATTCATCAGTGAATGAGTGCCTCCTAAGTTCCAGGTACTGTTCTAAGAACTGTGGTCCAGCCATGAGTAACACAGACAAAAACCTGTCCCCTTATGGAGTTTATGTTCTAGCATGAGAAGACAACTTAAAAATAACCAAATTACATAATACACTAGAAAGTTCTAAATATTTTGCAAAAAAATGGGTAAAGGAATATGTGCTTGTTGGGAGGATGTTATTCACAAATTTTAGTAGGTAGGTCAGGCACCTAGTTGTGCAAGTATCTGTGGGAGTGCTTTCCAGGCAAAGAGAATCAGGCGGTGTAGACGCCCTAAGAGAAGGAGCACACCAGGCATGTCCAGGAACACCAAAGTGTGCAGTAAGCAAGGGAGAGAGCGGTTGGAGAGGATGACCCAGAGGGAGCAGGGGCTGAGACCATGTAGGTCCTTGTAAACTCATTGTAAGGACTGGTTTTCTGTTCTGAGTATGATGGGAAGCCACTGGAGGCTTTAAGCAGAGGAATGACGTTATCGGACATGTTTTTAAATGATTTGTCTGGCTGCTTTTATCAATAGACCATAGAGGGACCAAGGGTGAAAGCAAAGACGCCAATTAAGAGGCAGTTGCAATAATCCAGGAGAGGAAGGGTATGCCTTGAACAAGAGAGGTAGTGGCGTAGGTGAGGAAAAGTGGTTGGATTCTAGATGCATTTTGACACAGGATTCCGTGACCAATTGAAAATCAAGTACGAAAGAGGAGTCAAAAATGCTTCCAATGTTGTTGGCCTGGAGTGCTGGCTTTCTTCAAATGCCCAACAACTGCAATCCACTCTCATTCTTAGCTGATGGCTTTGCCTCCTGTTTCACTGAGAAAGGGAGCACAAATCCCTTAAATCCTCACCTGGTGTATGCCACTGCCTTCATCTGGGTGCACATTCTCTGCCTTCCCTACTGTTACTATGGATGAGCCACCCATCCCTTTCCATTGGTGCACTAAATCCCATGCCTTCTTGCTTACCTAAGAACATTGCTCCCGCTCCTCGCTCCTCTCTCGCCTCATTTTTTCTATCTCTACGTGATCTGTCCCGTTAGAATATTTTTACCATTTTGACTCCATCTTACCCTCTAACCACAGCCCCATTTCTTCCCTCTAGAAACCTATTTCCTCTCTAGAGCAAACTCCTCTAAAGAGTTGTCTATACTCAGGACCTGATTCTTCTCCGCTCACCTTATCTTGAACCTAATTCAATTAAATTTTCCATCTACCATTCCACTGAAACTGCTCCTGTCAAAATCCCCAGTGACTTCCATTTTACCCAGTCCAAGGTCAACTTTCAGGCTACATTTCCCTGATATAACAGGAAAGCATTTCACAGTTGATAACTTCCTCCTGATGGAACCACTACCTTCAACTGAGCCACAGCACCATACTGTCCTGGTTTTCCAGCTGCCTGATGGCATGATGAGTCCTTTCTTTACCTGCTGATTTGCTGGCACAAAGAACTCAAACTTAGAGGGCATCAGCCATAGCTTTAAATTTATAGGGGCTTTTGTTTTGCCCCCTGGCAGAAGTATGCCCTCTTAGGGAACAAGAACTTCTTTTAGTCCCGCGTAGATTAAAGTAGTAGAGAAGGAAGCAAAAATTCTTCCCAAGTGAGTCACTGGGAGTAATGGTGAGCAGAGCCTCTCCGACATCCACTTCTTGGTCCCAGCCTAAAGGACAACTCCTCTCCCTTCTAAGGTGTCAGCTCCCAGCTGGCCCTCAGCAATGCCTTCAAAAGGCTGTTCCACAATTTCTCAGACTTCTGGATGGTGCAGAAAGTGGTAGGAATGTTGGAAGCCAGAGTTCTCCTCTTTCTCAATCTACTTGTTCCTCTTTCCTGATCTTTTTAATTAATTAATTTATTTATGTATTTATTTTAAAGATTGGCACCTGAGCTAACAACCGTTACCAATCTTTTTTTTTTTCCTGCTTTTTCCTCCCCAAGTCCCCCCAGTATATAGTTGTATATTTTAGTTGTGGGTCCTTCTAGTTGTGGCATGTGGGACACCACCTCAACATGATTGAATAAGCCGTGCCATGTCCGCGCCCAGGATACGAACCTTGGGCCACCGAAGCGGAGCGTGCAAATTTAACCACTTGGCCAAGGGGCCGGCCCCTCCCAGATCTCTTAATAATAAAATATCCTTGAAACTCTTCCCAGTCCTCGAATTTCTTTACCTACATCTGTTACTTACATCCAATCTCATGGTTTACATACTATATTCTCTTCCAAAATCATGTCTCTAGCTTGGACCTTTGCCCTGAAATTTATATGCAAATATCTAGGTTTGGATATATATACCAAACATCTCAAATTTAGCATGTTCAAAATTGAGTCTAAATCTTTCCTACCAACAACAACAGAACAACACCACAAATGATCTGCTTCTCCCATCTCAGCTAACAGCAACCACATCCTTCCAGGTTCCTAGGGACAAAAATTTTAGAGTCCTTGATCCTCTCCTTCTTACTTACTACATCCAATTCATCAGCAAATCCAGGCAGCTCTGCCTGCAAAAATACGTGTAGATTCCAAGCAGTTCCTTTGAATCCCGCTACTAGCACTCAGATTCAAGTCACCATTATCTCACACCTGGGTTATTGACATAGTTTTCCAATTCATATTTCAATTTTGCCCCTTGTTCCTCTTTAGTCTATTCTAAACACAGAAGCCAGCGTGGATCTGCATGTCAGATAACATCTCTCTGTTAAGAGTAAAAATCCAAAGTCCTTGCAATGGTCTATGAGGCTCTACAATATCACGCAACCCAACAACTTTAGT